AGCTCCGCGATGCGTGTCCGCAAATTCACAAATTCAATTTGGACCTTCAACCTGTTGGTTCCCATTAAAGTAAATATGGAGAAAAATCCTGGAATGTTTTTCTCAAAAACCTTAATTTCTTTGCGACTGAAGAAAGAAAGACATGAACATCTTGGATGACATGGGGGTTGTTACTCTTGAACTCATTGAAAAGATGAAATTAGAAATGAAATCCTACTTTGAAAAAATATTTGCTAACCTTGGACATATTTGAACAACTCAGAAAATGTTTCTGCAAGTTGCAGAGATTTTTATGAAACACCTATTTGTATCAGTGCTGATCCAGAATTTTGTCTCCGTTAGGATGTGTGAAACCTTAAATCAGCACTCTGACTCGAAAAGTTTGAAAGGTATCATAGAAACAGCTGTTTTTGTGATAGAGAGCCAGTTATCTGGAAGTGCCTGTAAAGCTTGACAGTTTTTGATGGAAACTCTACTAAAAACAGTCTGACACCATCCACAAACACAACAACTTTCGTTAGTGTAGAGAAATCTGATGGAGCTATGAATCACACACACACACACACACACACACACACACACACTTTCGCACACACACCCCCATATTCACCTCCTCACTCCACTGGTGAGGGATTTTTCCATTTGCACCTCTCCTACCCCTATTGTGCTTCACAAATCAGAGCGACAGACAACAACTCTCCTCCGCCCACAGCCCCGCCACTCACCGTGACCCACCTCTCTCACTCTCTTTCTCTCTCTCTGGGGAACACCAGCATCATGCATAAACAAGACCTTCCCTTTATCCTTTCGCTGTAAGCCTAGAGGAGAAAAACTCAATTTGTATACGTGTGTTCGGAGAAAAAGAAGAATCTCCCTATTTTGTGATAATCCCTGCCCAACACACAATGAGCTTTTCTGTTTCTTTATTCTTCAATCTCTGCTTCTTTCGGTTTACAGGTTTGTGGGACTGAAGAGACATGCAAGGAATGTGCCAAAGAACATACATAGGAATATATATAGGACATACTGCATTATTACTACGAGATCCATCATATATAAAACAAAAAACAATATCTAATATTGTCAATCATAGATTCTCAGGTGTGGTTTAGGTGTCCAGATACTTTGTGGGGGTGCATACCAAGCCTTGGCACTCATATGAGAAATGCAAGTTTGAATTCTGCTTGCAACATGCTCTGATTCCATTATAAGATTGCAGTATCCTCTCATTCTCCACTATAACTGTCTACAAAGTCATGCAAAACCTGGAAAATGAAGAGAGTGGGGGGAGAAAGACTTTGTGCCTTGGTGCACATACAAGAAAGTCAAGTTCAAGTTAAACCTGTAACATGCTCCAATCCCATTCTTGCTCACTTTTTATAATTTTCCACTCACTATAATGTCCACTATACCTGTCTAAAAACTTATGTCTAAAAACCTGCGGCCCCAAAAAAGAAAAGAGCGAGGAGAGAAAGAGGTCATACAAGTGCTGCAAGTTCAAGTTTAGCCAGAAACATGTTAAAAATCCCAATCCTGCTCACTTTTCCTATAATTGTTTACTATACTTTTCTACAAAAAGGGAATGGAGTGAAAGAGGTCATTTGAGCCTTGATGCATGAAATGCAAGTTCAAGTTAAGCTTGCAACATGCTCCAATCACATTGCAAAAGCCCCCAAAAATTGAGAGGTTGTGCAAGGTTGTATGAGACATGGATCACATAAAAGTGCTGCAAGTTCGAGTTCAGTCTGCAACATGCTACAATCCCATTTCTGCTCACTTTTCCTATAATTTTCCACTCATTCGCCACTATACCCAACTAAAATATTATGGAAAAGCACGAAAAATGGAGTGGAAGCAGAAAGAGCCTAAGTGCCTATATGAGTGCTGCAAGATCAAGTTTAGCCTACAACATGCTTTGAACCCATTCAGCTTTTACTTCACCTTTTATTTTCCTCTCATTGTCCACTATATTAGTCTAACAATTACGGAAAACCTAAAAAATAGAGAGCAGGTGGTGAAACCTTGGTGGACATATGAGTGCGGCAAGTTCAAATTTAGTCTGCAACATATCTAATCCCATTCCCCCTAACTTTACCTACTTATTCTCCACCATGACTGTCTTAAAAATATGCAAAAGCCCAGAGAGAATGAAAGAGGAGAGCACTGAAGCAGTAATGAACTCTTCAGAAGGAAGCTGAGGATTAATTGATCTGTAGGAGTCATGCTGGAGGAGGGAAAGCTGTAATTAAGCTACAGAGGTTCTGAATGCGGTTTTATAATGACTGCTACAAACACACACACACACACACATTCACTCAGAGATGTTCCACATGACATCGCACTCGCACGTAATTGCAGTCTCATGCAACTCTGACAAAGCTGTTTTGCTCCAAGACTGGTGAAGTACTGTTTTATTTACAGCACATTGAGGAATTTTACCATTTTATGTCACTGGAAAGCGGTATAGTGCTTTGCTAATAGATCAATAGATCAAATCCTCATGAACTTGCGACCCTACTGGCAAAAATGGCACTGCAAAGGTACAGATGTTTAAACATCTGTACCATTTAGCATTGCACAGTGACTGGACTGTGTCAAAAATGTGATATTATATGAAATGCCTGTGTATATGTGACATACTATATGTAAAATATATTAAAAGGCAGTGAAGGTTGTTCTGAGAGGTCATTATACTAACTGCAGGATCTGCTTATTTATGGATTATTTAATGACTTATTTAAATATATTTAATTAAATATATTATTTAAATATTTTTTGCAACCATTCAGTCAGGTCAGACCATCTACCAGCCCTAATGCTTTATGCCCGAATGTCTGTGTGGCTGCAAACTGAATTAAAATACGGAACATTCCTGTGTTGGCTTCAATACATATTGTCATTTTTCTAATTTATTCCCTAAGAAATCCATGAATGGCCCCACGTAATGAAACAATGACTTTCAACTCTCTCGTCCTCCCTCCCTCTACCGAGTTGACTTATTCCGTCTGTTAAATTATTTCATCCCTTCAATCTCCTCTCATCCTTTCAGGCTACAGACACTGTGCCTGTATTGTGACGGCACAAATGAACAGTGGAAATCTCATCTCCTATTGTGACGGCACAAATGAACAGTGGAAATCTCATCTCCTATTTGGTGGTGCGAAGTGTTCAACGAATCAAATATTCTCCTTTTTTCACTTCTAAAGCATTTGAAGGAACACCATGAGAGTCTTAGAAGCCCATTTACTTCCTTATCTAATGTTAATCGTCACTTTCATCTTGCTCTTTTTGAGCCTGACGAGTCGGCTGTGATTGGCGGTTCGCTATCTGTTGAAATCGTACTTGAATAGCTGTGACGAAGAGAAAATTTCAGTTGGTACACTTGCAAAGTTGACACGCACCAGGAATATTGAATACCTAAGCAACACCTTTAAAGGGATAGTTCACAAAAAAATGTACTATTATAAATTACTATTATAAAATTATAATTATAAAATCTATTATAAAATCACTATTTACTCACCCTCATGTTGTTTCAAACCTGCCACATTCTTCATATATATATATATATATATATATATATATATATAGCTATTCTTTTTAATAGTTAACTATTAACTATTTTGAATTTTTCGGATCATCAGTCATCAAAGTTCTGTAAATATTGGTCACAGACACTGAGATCTACTACATTTCACCAAACTGATTACTCACTGAAAACTTCAGAAGTTAGGGGGACAGAAATAATATATATATTTTTTTTTTTTGGCTTGACAGGTTCTATTATTACTTACTTTTTAAAAATAGTCTTCCCATTATATTGTTCATTCAGACTGATTCGCGAACGCGCATGAACGCAAGAGTTGGGATTTATCGCATGAACAAATCACAGCCGAACATAACCAGTCATATGCAATCATATCGCGATGGAGGCATTGCTTCCTCTCACGTGACTTTCCCCCATTCATTCTTAATTACCCCCCACCAAACTCATCGCAGGCTTTAGGGGGTCTGTTAAAACTCAATGGGCTCAGGGGAGGCGAGAGAGACGTGGACTTCCGCTGTAACTTTACTTGCTAGTGTCGCATTTGGGCAATGTTTCTTTAGAAAAACAAGTGATTTAAACACTTTTTAATGTTATTTTTTGTAATATTGGCGTTGTTTTATTTTTGTACTACAAATTTTTTTCTCATCCAATATTTTGAGGAGGCACTGCCTCCCTTGCCTCCACGGAGCAAACGCCCCTGATATACAGTATATGCAAATAGCGTAACAAGAAATAAGAAATAAAATGTGAATAAATAAATAAAAGAAAATACACAGAGAAATAATAAAACTGCAAAATAAATAGTGTATATATTTTTGTGAGCTATTCCTTTAAAACCCCTTTAAAAACAGACACAAAAAGCTTATAGAAGCAGAAAGGCAAATACTATTTCTTGTGATTTATTTCCCTTTTTTTAAACTTGAAATGGAGTATGAAACTTTTTGTCAAGAAAAAAAAAAACAGTCTCTACTTCTGAATGGTGTGAGAAGCATCTGCCTCTCACCTCTCTCACTCTATGTGTCCTTCACTTCTCTTTTCTTAACACCTTGTGCTCCCTCTCGAGCATTTCACAGAGTGTCTCACACAGGGATTTCTTGAAGAAAAAAAAAAGGGAAAAGAAAAACAAGAAGGGACACACAAGTGTCAAGCACCGCTGATTGAAGCTACAAGGTCATTCTGAAGAGTGAGAGAAGAGGGGAGAGGAAGAGATGCTCTCTGGCATGTCTGTCTCACTCCAGCAGGGTGTGTGTGTGTGTAGCACAGAGACGCTGAACAAAAGAAGAAGCTCTAACAGGTGAATGATACATAGCTAAGCAACTCTTCACCCTGATGACTTCAGGGCCTCCTCTCCATCATCGCCCTATTCACTCCTTCCATCCTATTCACACTGCACCTGCCGTCCCCTGCCGTACTCTCTGCCCCTCCTTTCAGCTTCCCCCTTCCCCTTGCTCACCTTGCAACTCCCCGCTTTTGCTGTAGAGTTCTCGCCGCTGCTCCCGCAGGTACGCACTCATGCTAATGGCATGAGAAGAAGACTCAAACCTGCAAAAAAAAAAAAAAATGGTCAAAGGTTGTCAAAGGTTACGTAGGAAAGCAAGTCAAGAGTTTTCATTTTAAGTTAACCTGAAATCTAATGTGAATTGTATACCCAAGAGCAAGGAGAAAATGCTTTCCCATGAGGCACTTAACCCAGTCTATGCGTGTGGTTCTTGTCTGCTGTTACCCTTCCCATTCCAATTAAATTCCTGAATCACTCTGCATAAGCAAACTTACTTGAATAAAGACTGTTTAGGTCGGAGAGGTTTCTTCTTGGCGAAGAACGCTCCGAAGTCTCCGCCGGTGCTGGCGTAAGACAGCTGGGCAGAAGGCTCTGCAGCTCTACGGGTATTTTTGACATCCAGGTAGTCCATTAGCAGCACCTGAGAGAGCATAAGAGCAATTTTTTATGTTTATTCAGTCAGTCATACATTACAATTACAGTAAACATCCAAATTCATTTTACTTTTTGACATTTTAAGTAGCTGTTCTACTAGATGTGCTAAACAGCTAGTGATGAACAGTTTATTAGTGCACTTGCTGGCACTGCACTTTGCAAACACAAGTAAACAGGTTTAGAAAAGGGATGGAATGGTCGATTAATCCAATGATTTTTCAAACGTTTTGATGCCAAGGACACCCAAATGTGATGATTCACTTGCAAAAAGACTCCTTTCTAAACATAAAGGCAGCTGTATATTTTAATGCATATACAGAATAATTTATACTGTCAGAAAACTAAATATTTATTACTCTGTATTAACTTGACAGCATACTGTTTTCTCCCCACTATTAGATTAATGATATAAATATACACTACCATTCAAAAGTTTGGAGTTGGTAAGACTATGTTTTTGAAAGAAGTCTCTTAGTTCCCTAAAGCTGCATTTATTTAATCAAAACAGAAAAATACTGAAAAAAACTGTAATAGTGTGAAATTTAACTACAATTTAAAATAACATTTCTATTTTAATATATTTATTTTAAATATATAGATATATTAATATATTCCAGCTGTCACATGATCCATCAGAAATCATTCTAATGTACTGATTTGGTGCTCAAGAAACATTTCTCATTATCATCAGTGTTGAAAACAGTTAATATTTTTGTGGAACTGTGCTTCATTCATTTTCAAAAGTTCAGTTTCAATTCATTTTTTTCATTATTCTTTGATAAACAAAGTTGAACTGCATTTATTTGTAACAATGTAAAAGTCTTTACTGCCACTTTTGATCAGTTTTATGTCTCCTTGTTGAATAAAAATACTTTCTATTAATTATTAATCATTTCTTTAAAAAAAAAAAAAATCATGCTGAACCCAAACTTTTGAACTGTAGTGTATAAACCTGAAGAAACACTTTTTCAGCTCAATTCAGATTTATTTGTATAGAGATTTACACACAAAATATTGTTCAAAACATTAACTTTGAAAGCTCTAAAATACATTTTCTAAAATATGTAGTTAGGTTATGTATACCCCTAGTCTAGAATGACTTAACTGCGTCTGTTTCTAGGCCTGTCTCAGGCCCATCTTTCCTGGCTGTCTGTGTAACTTCGAACGCCTGCCATGTGCGCCAGCAAAATCCCATTAACTCTGATTAAAACTGCACTACACTGCAATGCATCTGAATTCATGAATATCCCATTCAACACTATCCATAACCATTAAGGGAGGTTAAAACTGCTGCAAGAGGACTGAAAAAGAAGTTAAAGTAAACTTTTCCACAAATTAGCAAGCCATTTTCCAATGGCTCCATAATTTAATGAAGCAATTAGCTTGGTCTATTTCTAAATCCCAGCTGCAAAACAGTCCAAAGTGAAGATGGAATTAGGAAAGGACAGATGGAACTACATCTGACTGATAATAGCATAATTAAACAGAGATAAGAAGGGAACGGTCTATGAGAGGAGGGGAAGCCTCATCAACAGCCATTCCTCAACCCATAGGCAAGTCCAATCCGGCCAGCCCGTTATATTCCTGTCAGATTATTAATTACTAATGCCCATCTGATCCAGTGATGGAGCGGGTCTCGCATGTAGACCCCCAACTTAATTAAATGCCAACGTTTGCCTGATGAAGGAGTCTGGACCCACTTCAGTGACCTCGGAGAAGGGAACACGGAACTTTTAAGGCAATTAACCGTGGAGGATGAATGGATGGTGGGAGAAAGAAAGAGAGAGAGATTTCATGATGAAAACAGCAAACACAGGAAGGGGGACAGATGGAGAGAGATGTACAAGAGAGATTAGGAAGTGATAAATCAGCAAATTCATCCCCGCAAGGAAATAACAGAATTCCTTCAGTACAGTGCAGTACATTTTAAAGTCCCCGTCATATGGAGATTACTTTATTTACTTAACGCTTTATTATCCATTCAATGTGCCGTAGAATAGAAATTTGTCTTTGGCACTGGCATAAAAAAGACAAATGTATACAATTAATAGGATAAAAAGATAAGGTGAAAGAAATAAGAAGATATTTAAAAAAAAACATTAAAAAAAATAAATTAAATGTCAAAGTCAAGAAATAAGATATTTCAGAAACAATAAAAAAAAAAGTTTTTTTTTTGTTTAAAGGTATAGCTATTGTTCAATAATAATAATAAAGTTATATTATTATTATAAATAACTGTACTTCAAAGCAAATCCTACGATAACCATAGCAATGTTTAAAAGATGAAAATCATGAATATAGTTTTCTTCCATCACAATATGACAATAATGATAAAGGTGAACATAGGAGTTAATAAAAAAAATACATCTGAAAAAAAAAAAATCACTAGACTGTAAAAATGATTTTCAAAGTTGTGAATAAAAACAAAAGATTACTTGAGCATGTTTTACAAGAAAACAGTATTTCACTTCAAAATACTTCTATTTCAAAATGTCATGTTTAATTCAATGTGTTGGTATAGCGGTTTCTTTGTAATTATTTGTTTTAATTATTTTATTTGTAAAAATGTAATACCAATTTCTGTGTGAAAACAGTTTCTGCACCAAATCTTTTTTTCAGTGGATGCTGCTAAGAGTGGATGTTGTAAATACAGGTAATTTAACTGGTAATTAATTATAGGTTTTTCCCGTATCCTCAATATCACTGTCCAAATTGTTGGTAATATCCTTTAAGTTTTAGTGGTGGTGTGATTTTATTATGCTTTAGCATGAATTTATTCTTCATGGTTTGTGTGTACTGTAAGTGCATGAGAATATTTTTGCAATATGTTAAACAGAAAAAGAAATACAGGAAGATGAAGGGAGGAAAACTTGAAGACAGGACTCATTATACCACCACCACAGCCAGCAAGGTCACTTTCACTAAAATGCCTCATGCCTCATCAGAAGTGCCTTCGTCCCCATTATAATGCGGCTTATTAGAACAGCGTTCGTTTTTCGTAACAACAGAGATGAAGCGTGGGCAGCAGCAGTGCTGTGTCCATTTTAAAACACCAAACAAGTAGGTGGAAACAACAGAGGCAGCTCAGCCAACAACACAAAGAACCCAAGAATGAGTCTGGCAATAAAACATGCAAAACAAACTGCTGATCTCCAGCAGGAACATCTAAAACGCCACATCAAACAGAGACAAAGAGCGGCCCAATTATGATTTATGTCGACCATGGATGGACACAAAATAACAAAAGACCTGTTTAACATCACTGGGAAGTCTTATAGCCGGTGTCATAGCCGTGTTGAGAGGGCAGCTAATTTATACACCAATCTGTGTTTTCATGGAGAAAAACCTCCACAAACAAACACTAAGGATGATGGGTTAAAATGATTAGACGGTTCTGAAAATATTTGGTAAATTCGTAGTAAATGAAAGATTGTCAATTACTTTTCTCAGGAAAATGACCTCCAAATGACCTTTTTCTGAGAAGAAAAAGGGAGGACAAATACAAAATAAAATCAGCACTTTGAGCAGCCGTAACGTGGTGGACACATTCTGAACCCTTCCATTTCCGGACGTTCATTTCACAGGCCCTCTTCTTTATTGGAGCCTTAAAGACTAGGTTGTTTTAACAGAAGGAAAAAATCTATATTCATGGCCTCTTTCAAGAAAAGACCAGCTTGAAAATGGTCTTGGGAAACAAGAGTCTGTGAGAAACAGCAAATGGCTTTTCACACCAGATAATAAACACAGAGCACACTGGCTGGATTTGTGATGTGCACGAATGCGTATCCCACAACAATTCTGTTTCCTTCCAACTCAAAACCATTACAAAGTTTACCGACGTCTTCAGATGTGTCTGGAAAATCGTGAGTTAATCTTTAGTGACCTTGTCTTTGAGGACACATTCTCAATTTAATGAACAGCAAAAAGCAGCACTCATCCCCTCTATTAGCCGCAAATCAAGAAAAACAGTGTTGAAGGATGTGCAGGTGAGCACCTGCTCTCTGATGATAGACGTTTGCAGAGTGCTTTAAGAAACGAGGGAAATAAACAAAGCTTCCTGCCTCTCGTCAACCCCTCGAGATTATGAAGAAAACACAGTTTCCTCTCGTTCTATGGTTTCCAAAAAGGAGTCTGACACCAAAACATCATAATTTCTGAAGTGTTTTTTTAAAACTGGGTGCATGTATGACCTTCATAAATTTTCAAATTTCACAAAAACAACCCAATTGCATTTTTTTTGTCTTTTTTTTTGTCATCTCTGTGCAATTAAAATATGTATGACCCGACTGACAATAAAACTATAATCATTATGGAGGAGGGGCATTATGAACCATGGGATTCTGTCTCTATGGATACCTTACCATTATTCATAGTCATATAAGCTCACATGGGTGTTTGAGAAACACATAAATAGAGACCAAAAAAACAAAACGATCTAATATAAACAGCATATTTATTATGTGATGCTTAACATTGATCTTGGATGCATCCAGCCAAGGTGATATGTTAACATGACACCTCAGGTAGAAAAAAAAATGACATGTTGATTAAAAAGTTGATTAGTCGATCTCTTTGTTATCTTATACCTGCATTCTGGCATGCCATTTGATCAGATTTTCACTTCCTACACACAAAATATATAAATATATATGCCTACGTATAGAATATTAGCTGGTTTATGCCAGATATATTAAGTTCAAATATATTTTTACCATACTTTCATATATAGTTAAAAGGTAAAATTAAGAGAATTTCTGTTAGGTGCCAGCTGATCAAAGCATATGTTAGCAGGAAGTCAGATGCTTATCCACTGCAATCAATAAAAGTCATGGTCTCTAGGTACATGTGGTGAAGGGATCAGTGTGTTGCTATGTCACAGATGCAAAGTAAAACTGCAAAAGCCACAGCTATGGAGTAATTATGACAACACGCCTGCTATAAGTGCAGTGATTGATTGGTTTAGTTAATGCTTACGCTCACATAGAG